TAAATTTGTAAATCAAAAACTTTTAATATACAGACAAACACTACACAGTCAAATTTAAACTAATATGCATATAGTAAATTAAGTAACATTCAAAAGAGAGAATATTGAATGTGTAAATATGTTGATCTGGAGAGCGTATATATGTCTCTAACGTCATCAATACTATTTCCGCCTTTATCTCGAAAGTTCTATTCTCATTCACAGGTCAGAGTTATCTTTCTTTGCCCAACTTATACATACTACGTAAATAGAGAAAATTTCGGTACCGAAAATATACAAAGTGCGGAATCTGATTTAAAAACAAATTATATATTTAGTATTTGTAGAAAAATGTTTGTTTTACATAAGAATATCTTGAAAAAATATCTAAAAACAAAAAAATCAAAAATTGACCAAAAACAAATTCACTTCCGGTTCGGACAGGAAGTACTGGAAACACACAAAAACAACTTCAAAACAAATAGAATATCATGATCTAATACTCCTGTAAATTTCATATCTTTACCTCAAACGGTTTTCGAGAAAACTGCCGGACAAAAGTCCATTTTAAAATTCGAAAATCGGCCATAACTTCGGACCGGAAGTGAATTTTTCAAAAAACGGAATTTTATATAAACTTCATATATCAACCTACTTACATGAGAAAAATTGTGAAAATCTATCCAGCCATCTCTGAGTAATCGCGCTCACAAAATTTGGGAGGAATAATAATAATAATAATAAAAAGAAACAATACAAACACTATAAGTCTTCCGTTGTGAACGGAAGACTTAATAATAATAAAAAACAGAGTAAAAACAATATGTTCCCCAACTTCGTTTGGGGAACATAATAAAGTATTTAAATCATGAAAGTTTTTAACAAGAAGGTATTGATTTTTCATTTATTTTTCAAAGTGCAAATCTACATCTTCAATATATATTTCAATTAATATTTTGCACATACATGTATCTTAAGATTTTGGATGACACCATATCTATGAATAGAAGAGCATGTGACCGTTGTTTACTTGCGATTTTCATTCCCGAAAGTGAAGACTCAAAACATGTCCCAAACGCAGACATTGTCAAAACAATTGATGATTGGTCGATCAATGGCGATGAGACACATGGAGATAACGAACAGTATTCAAGATCAAAAATCCATAAAACAATACAAAATAGGAACAGAACAAACATCGACCTCCAAAACATTATAGGTGGGATCATGTGACATGGAGAAGAGAGCACCCCTGCCGACCGGTCACACCCGCCGTGTGCTCCTCGTCATGATTTGAAAATAGCGGAAAAATCCGTCGTCAATTCAGCGTACGGACTAACAATTAGTATGAAAAACGTCAGTTAGCATTTGACTCAATGATAAATTGTATTTGCTGACAAGGTCATTGTATCGACCATTGAACGTACCTTACGATATGATGACTTCAAACGAGACTACTGATATTCTTGTTTCATCAACTTTTTCTTTTTCTTCATCACGTGCATACGGAGTTTATGTATCTCAGTTGATTCGATACACAAGAGCATGCTCTACTTACGAACAATTTCTAAAACGAGGTAAATCATTGACAAACAAGTAATTGATTTACCTCGTTTTAGAAATTGTTCGTAAGTAGAGCATGCTCTTGTGTATCGAATCAACTGAGATACATAAACTCCTGATCCGTATGCATGTAATGAAGAAAAAATTGCTGCATAAGTAAGGAAAGTTGACGACAGAAAAATTAAAGTCATCACGTTTATCATAGAGCTTGGTTGGTAGATTACCATTAATGCCTTTTCAAGTAAAATATCCAAATATGAAACAGATGTGTCAGACTCTGTGGTATCTTTTATCTCAAGCTCACCAGGATATATCATATCGACATAAGAATGGAAATTAAAATTGTTAATTGACAATACATCGTCGATATGTTGAGGCTACAGCGAGTGTTTTCTTCTTTTAACGCATAAGAATTTGCACAAATTCTGCTTCATATGAATACAAAAATACGTCTGCTAATAACGGGACGCAATCCCTACCTATGGGAATTCCAGTAGATTGTGGAAAGACCTGTTCTCCAATATCAACATAGATATTGTCAAGCAGAACTCAAGCATCTCTTTAATGTCGACTTCAGAGTACTTGCTTGTACAATCAGAATGTTTTTTTTAACAAAATAGTTTTTCAAATGACCAATGACAAGGTAAGTAAATTTACGAGTTCCATTTTTATTGAAAAAGTAGCTGTCAATGATATCAAAAAGCCTGGACTTTAATTTATCGTGGGGAATGGTTGTGTATAAAGTTGAAAGTCTTAAGTTTTAAAGGTATTGAAATATTCAAAATACCATATATCAAAAACCCAAAACGTTTCTCAACTTTCAAAACGTTTTGGTTTTTCTGATATGGTATTTTGATTCAAATATTCAAATAACCAAAATATCAAATTTCAAATCCCGATTTGATTGATTAATAATATCAAATTTCAAAACCCGATTTGATTTTTTAATATCGGTTCAATATTTTAACTATCTAAAAGCTCTTTCAATAGACCAAAAGAGTTCATGAAATATTATAAAAATCTAAACCATGTTTAGAGTTTGATATTTTAGATATTTGAAGTAAAAGTCTAAAAAAAACTCAAGATGTAAAAAGTGTTTTAGAGTACTGTAAATGTATTATATTTAGCGTATACGATATTTGGCGGAAATTGGATTTTGAACAAGTTAGCGTTGATTTGATTTAGCGCACATCTTAATGCTCTTCTTCATAGATATATGCGCGAGGCATTTAGTGTTGTACTTGAATTAGCAGATATTGCTTTCCGCCAAAAACTCTAAAAAGAATGAACAGCCAAATGTAATACGTTTACAGTATTTTAAATTTTAGTTCTTAATTTCTAAAAAGCTAGAAAGCTTTGAAAGTTAAAATTTAAAAGTTTGAAGTCAAATTTAAATGAAGACAAAATATGTAACTGAATTTTGGAAAGTTAAGCGTAAACTTTCTGAACAAACGGTAGATTAAAAACTCAAAAATTTAAAATGCAAAAATCGGTTTTGGAAATTTGAATTCTGAACAGTTAAGGTAAAAATGTAAAACATTAAATTTTGAAATCCTCCTGTTTAGAAGTTTGAAATGTTAGAACTAACAGATTAAATTTCATTATTCCAAATCAGAATGAAGTTTGAAATTTAGAAATTTGAACTAATACATTAACATTCTAGAACTGAAAACCATTTTAGAAATTTGAATAAAAGTGTTATGCCTAGGTCACATTTAAGCCGATGGTCGGGCGACTAATTTTTTCTGGTCTTGTCGGCTGAAAGAACATGATCGGCCGACACGAGTATCGGGCGACATGGAGCAGTCACATTAATTCCTAGGAACAACGATGACTTGGATAGATAACAAAAAAAATCATTTTTCTTTAGAAATCAGCAATATTTTTCATAGATCTATATTCAGACAGGTGAGATGAGTATTGTTTGCAAGGCGAAGTCACAGAATTTTTAAGATTGTGACACAATGTTAAAAATGTGTGCAAATTTTGTTTATAATTTCATAAACACGACAAATGGCGCATATCTAAGCAGCAAAAATTACTTTAGATTTCTTTATACCTTACGGATTAATTATTATGTTAGTTCCGTTCAAAAATATATATCAATCTATGCATCAAATTTTGTTTGTGTTATGTATCCTTAATATGTTAAATATTCACAAGTCGGCCAATCGTCGCCCGATCATCGAGCTCTGAGCTACAGTTTGATTTTAACCGTCGGCCGAAATTTTGGACACCCTTATTGTTGAACGACGGACGACCGACTTAATAAACTGACCGCTGGTGGTCGGACGATGATCAAAGGTTGGTCGACGGATAACTTCAATTGAGGAAATCGGCCACCGACGCAGAAAAAAATACAACTTGGACCGATGGACACAAAATTGATCGGCCAACAAAAAAAAAGGTCAAAATCGGGCAAGACAACGGCCGATGAACTGCCGACTTTCACCCGAAGAATCCCATTTTTGCTTCAAAAACCGTCGGCCGTGGTTTTTTTTTGGAAATATGACTGGGGTTTTACACGGACAATAACCTCAAATACATTTCCAAAAACGACGATCTGCCGACAATTTTTTGTAGCAAAAATGGGATTCTTCAGGTGACAGTCGGCAGTTCATTAGCCATTGTCTTGTCCGATTTTGAACCTCTATTTTTCGGTGGACTATTTTTTTTGGTCCATCGGTCCAAGTTAATTTGTTGTCTTTAATTGAAGAAATCCATCGACCAACCTTCGATCATTGTCCGACCATCGGCGGTCAGTTTATAAAGTCGGCCATCCGTCGTTCGATAGTTATGCGTTTCCAAAATGTCGGCCGACAGTAAAAATCAAACTGTAGCTCAAAGCTTTATTGTCGGGCGACAATTTGCCTACTTATAAATATTTTACCTCGTATATTAAAAGATTATATCAGTCATTGAATAACAAAATCATATTTCACAGAAATATTTGAAAGATACATTAAATGAAATTTTGTCCTGCCTTGCAGAGACCTTCAAAAATTTTAAATTAAGGGATAACTTGTTTGAAATCCTAGAACGTGACAAGATTCGGTCACTGTCATACTTCATATTCCAATTAAATTTTCGTCGCCCGCGTGGCGCAATAGTGGTAGAGCGTCTGCTCCAGAATCTCGGAGTTTAAAGAGTTCTTGCGTCACGGGTCTGAATCCAACTGTGGAGACCGGTCCTTCGGATGAATCCGTATTACTGAGATCAGGTGTCACAGTTGGTGCTAGCATGAAAAAAGATCCTACACTGCTCAATGGCCCTAAGTACCGAGAATAGGTCAAAAGATGCAGCTCTCCACCGGCAAGTGGCGGCGTCTCCTTATGAGTGAGGAATTCTAGAGAGGGCCGTTAAACAAAAAAATTATATTTATCTTTTGGAATGATAGTAATGATACTTTTAATAGTGTGTTTAATCAATACTCTTATCATTTTTGAAATATGTTATAGCAACCTGTTCTTGGAAGCAAAATTGGTGTTGGCCTGGAACTTGTGAGGGGTATTTGGCCAAAAACTGTGCTTGTGACGATGGGTTTTCTTTGTCATCGAGAGGCTCCACCAAAATCTGTGATTGTATGTACATAAATGTCCTTACATAAGGGTATTCATTTTTTTTAGGCCAAAAAGAAAAACAAAAAAAAAATTACAATTTCATGACATTTCCTATTTTATTTTAGTAAATATTTCTCCAACTTTGCTCACTTGTCGACTAGGAGTAGAAAGCAATGCCGGAGAAGTAAAGAATTCAACATCTACAGGATCCTGCCTGGAAGAAAAGTCGAATTTTATGAATTTTCAGCCAGAGCATTCTTCATTTGTTTTTGAATTTGCATTGAATGTTCATGTTTCAGCACCAAAACCGGATCGGATTTATGATTATTCATTCGGCATTGTAAAAGCTTCAGTATCAGTGTCCAGAATGAACATACATAGTAAGTAAAATAAGATTCTGGAAAAAATATAGTTTAAAAACATATTTACGGAAAGAAAATATTTCAACAATACATGAACGAAAAGGTTGTTTTGAGCTAGTAATTACATGTATGACTACGACTTATTGCAACTGCAAAAGCAAATGGCAAGTTCTTTATTCATATTGAAATATAAAAGAATTAATTTTGCAATCATTACAAAAGCTTGATACAAGTCAAGTAATGCTCTCCATTCCCACTGAGGAGGACATCTGGATGAAAAAATAATTGGGCTGAATATTGATTGCGCTTATGTTCGGTTACTGTATTTGATCAAAATATTGGGACCAAACTCCTTCAAAATCTTTCTCCTTTGCCGCTAAGAAACCTTGCACATAAACTGCATTTGTGTAGAAGATTTCAATAATTTCAAAGAGTTCGGTTCACTTCATGCATAAAACGGCCCTGTAGATATACCAATTTATTGACTAACAATTTAATACAGTAACTTGATCCGAAGAGCCGTATCACGTCTCGTTGACAGGCGCGGATCATCAGACGCTCTTCGTCTCGTTTGATTTGATGACCCGCGCCTGTCAACTCGACGTGACACGTTCCTTCGGATTAAGTTACTGTTATTATTTACATTTGCGAATGTTTTCCTTTATATAACACTACTGAAAGCAATGCGTATCTATAACTGAATGAATACCGGTACGGGGTCTAGAGGTCATAGATGTGCGGATGGATAATCGTTCGACGTAATTTCTCAGTGAAGTCATAAAGGGTCGACGCGCGTTCAGTGGATTACATATATGCCGTTGGATTTGAAAAAATAATGTATTTCACACGTTAAAAGTCACAATCAGACAAATATAAAGTATAAATAAGTCAAATGTAAATGTAATAAGGTATCATTTTAAAACATCTATCGGGCTATAAATACGGGTTGATACGAGATTAAATTCATCATAATGCCCCGCTTTATGGAATTTAATCTCGTGACCAACCCGTATTTATATCCCAACAGATGTTTTAAAATGATACCTTATTTCTTATATACATTTATTTAATAATTCAATTACATATTTATGATAAAGAAAGGTGCCTCTTTCATAATGGTTAATTTCAAGGCCCCTGGGTCAGAGGTACCGGGGGTACTCTTTCTGAAAATAAATTAATGCTTTGAAATCTGCTCTTTGCAATTGGTATTAACCAACCGTTTATGATGGAACAGAATTCATGATAAAATTTCAAAAATTTCGAAATATGTGGCCGCAGTTTCTGTAGGGTGGGGTGCACAACTGGTGGTTATAAATCGGAAATGCATTTTCTCTTTGTTACTCTGATATTTAAGAAACCAAAGTAAGCATGGTAAGTGTATAATTATGATAAGCAATGGTGCCTCTTTCAAAATCTTAATTTCATGGCTTTTGGATTAAAACCATCGAACCAAATAAACCGAAGTACGAACCAAATTAAATTGTTGGAAAGTTGTTACACGATACTTAGGTGACCTATAAGGCCCTTGGGCCTCTTGTTTAACTCTTAGACACAATTTTCAACATAGATTGTCCTTAAATATAATTTGTTGTGACTGATAACCGATAAACACTAAGCTGTTCTCATCAATCATAGGAACACGCACACAGCTCCGAGTACTTGAACCTCATCAGTTTAACAGATGTACCTTCAATGGGTTTAGGAATACCAACCCATATGGAAGTGTTATATCATGCAAAATGAATTTTGAGACACCGTGGCATTTTGAAGACGGAGAACGGTACGTTTTAAAATTATTCATCTTCACAAAACACAGAAGTTTCGAATGAACATCTCTTTATTGAAAACATACAAAATTTGTTTTACTTTCCTTTTACATTTAAAATTAATGGAACATCATTTTTTCTTTGAAAAATATCTTGAATAATTCAGTAAACCAGCTGTCATGATTCAAGATCATATGTTTAATTTTCTTAATAAATTTGTATATTATGATTAATTGAAAAATAAAATAGGCCAAGCTCTCTTCCAAGGGGAAATAAATTTATTAAAAAATTGATGGCATCATTTAAAAAATTTCGGATGAGACCGTATAAACCGAGGCCCCGTGTTACAGCAGGTGTGGCATGATAAAGATCCCTCCCTGCTCTAAGGCCATAAGTGCGGAACATAGGCCTAAATTTGCAGCTCTTCACCGGCAATGGTGACGTCTCCATATCAGTGAAATATTCTGGAGAGGGACCTTAAACAGCAATCAGTCAATCTTCTCAAGAGCACAAGGTCAGGAAAGATGAAACTCATGTAGAATCATCTTCAGTTAGTAAAAGGAGGTGGGGTGGGGTGGGGGGGGCTTAGTATAGCTCTCTCCTACCCGTGGCCGCTTGATCATATAAATTGTCGTAATCTTCAATATGTTCACCTCTATGCTGTGACGTCATGCTCAGCCATAGACAATATTTGCAACATGACATCAACAGTAAACAAATAAATATTTCGGTTAGTGCGATTGGCTTTTGAAAGGCTGCGACAAAGTTCATTTTCTGACTCTGCTTAAATTGCATTAGTCAATAATTTAATGAAGTACGAAATATTCTCCTCTCAATCAACCACGGCCAAAATGGGAGTGGTTTGCGACGATAGTGCAAGATATATTGGCGAGTTTCGATACTTCTTCTTGCCATTTATAATCCCAGTCGCGAATATTGAAAGTCGTAGAAAAAATTTCTTAGCGACGAATCGCGAATAAAAATCGCGCGTGAATTTTCTGATTTACAGAGTTCTTGGCTTATTAAATAGAACTACATATACATTAACAAGTTAATTAAGAAAATAAATTCGATTTCCAACTGTTCTATCATGCAAAAAAATTTCTCATCTTCATCCAACAAAGAAATAAAGAACTGTCATAATGCTACATCCATCTAGGTTCTGTTTGGAATTCACGTCCTATGTCGGTGGATACCTTCGAACTAAAGATTTTTCAGGAACAATATCACAATACCACATTTATAATTCTACAGAGGCATCACATGAAGTATGCATGATGTACGACTCTTCTCCGCCAAAACATTGTTCAGAAAATAGTACCTGTTTACATAATGAAACACTGATTATAGAAGATCGCATAACAAAATCTAGAAATTTGAGGATTTCAGTGGCAGGCTGGCATGATTCTCACCCATGGCCATTGACGGCTAATGAAGCTTCCGGTGTCGACAGCTATTTCCTTACTATACACGAAATACTTGAAATTGATTCATTAACACTCACAATGGATGAAAGGTCTTTGCTGAGTTATAAACTTACACGTGATATTAATGTTATACAGTTGCCTGATCGACAACCGGCGCTATATGGGCTTAGTTTAAAAGTTGGTGATAAAGCAGGGAACTTCAAATTGGCTAGGCGATTTGTATTGTTTGACATTTCGTCAAAAATTAAAACCAATCGCGTCTGCAAAGTAACTGTGTCATCTGGAAATCCTGCAACAAATTTCACATGGCAAATAAACCATGGGGAAATATGCATTAACTGGTCTGGAAGATACTACAATAGTTTCAATGTTCACTTCAACATACTTCGAAAAATCAAACCAGATTTTTATAAATTGTATAGCGGAGTATATGAGCAGCTTGAAGGCCAACTCCCAGTCAGTGGAACGCCAAATGTGAATGGAATTATTGAGTTTCTCTATGTCATCAAAAGAAATAAAGAAATGTTACTGAACAACTCGGTTTCAAATATCTTTAATCAATCCTTTTGTCATTTGCTGGAATCTAAGGATGGTGAGGTGTACGATATTACACTTACAGCAGTCGATATAATAGGCAACCGTTTAAGTGAATCACTGGTTGTTCGTATGGATTCAAGTGGTCCTGAAATACATTTTATAAAGGATGGCTCGCACCAGTCGTCGGAAAATGTAACAAATAATCCAAAATTAACATTTGAAATCCTGGATGAACACAGTGGACTGTATTCGGTAAATTGGACATTAGGTACCTCAGTAGGAAGTGCAGATTTAGGCGCTGGAAATCTTCCTGTTGTGCCTCAATCGCAGGTAATGTCCGATGTTTTGATACACAGTAATACAGTACAAGAGTTTTGAACTTGAAATAGTATATCTTTTGTTATTTTCTGCAGGGAGACACGAAGTGGTCATCTCTAATTTTGTATATTTCAAAAACGTTGAAACAAAACAATTCTAATACAATAATATAAAGTAAAACTCGAAAATACAATGCATGAAAATCACAATAAAATTTTACTTTTTATCAGCTGCTAAAAACTTTAAAAACAGTTGTTTACATTTTCAGAACTCCTGCGACCGTTTGAGCCTCTGTTATTGTCCAGAGACTGGGAACTGCGAAAAGTATTCGTATACTGTTAACGCGTTTGAACACAGATTCAAGAATTCAGATGAAACTCATAAAACAAGTTATTTTCTTACAATTAATGCAATGAATCACGCACTATTGCTATCATCTTTATCAATGGAAATCAAAGTGGACAAATGCTTAACTAACATATGTCTAAATGGAGGAATATGTTTCGTAGTGAACAGTAGCAATGAATGTTCGTGTCCGAATACTCATCATGGATCTCGTTGTCAAAACGGTAAAGATTAATAATACTAGTAGTTAGAAAGAATGGAGGTGTACAAGCGAAAATGTATTTCTGAATTTTAAAGTTTATGAAAAAGTTTTATAATTCAAAAATCAGTAATATTATATTTAACACATTTGATTCATTTATTCTGTATTGCTCATAACACGTTAATGCTATTTATCCAAAACAGCAATTCAAAATGATTTTTGAAAATGAGTGGATCATCTATTCTACATAAACGTTTGAATGACAAAAAGAAAGAAATTCAATGTAAAATCTATTTCATGTTTCAAAAAAGGAGTTTTAACAAACTTGTTTACTTAAATCAAACTGAAACATTATAAGATAAAAGACTGTGTTGCGTAGTTGTTAACACATAGCTCCACTGCTAGATTTGGACCGAGTTGGAAACGTGCATGGGGTTCTTTTTTTTCCCCACATACCTTAAAACATAAGTGAAAATGGATTATTTGATAAAATGAAATAAAGGAATCAATTGCGTAAAAGATTATGCTGACAACCAAACTTTTGAAAAAAAAATGAATTTTAGAATGAAGAATTATCTTCTCTCAGAACAGTGGATTGTTCTCCTCTTGTACGCTTCCACTCTTAAATTTAAGCTTTGATGATATAAAACATCTAGTATTTCTGCCTGTATTAGTTTCTCTGAATTCAAGAGATTTCAAAATTCAACATAGTCTACTTATTTAAGGAATATTAATGAAAACATCTAATCATCAATATATCTTTTTTAATGAGCAGCATGCATCAGACCAAAGCATTGTGAGGAATACGAGTGTACATCGGCAGAAGATTATGTGTGTAAAAAGTGTTACGGAGAAGGGGCTACTCCTGAAAAATCAGCATATTTTATTTCCACAGATAAGAAAAGCTACACGGGTTTGTATTATAAATATATTTTAGGGATTGACATTTTAACGATAAATATTACAAAGGAATTTTTAAAATGTAAAGGCATTATACAAGTGAGAAAATCAGTGCACTCTAATATTGCATATATAACACATTTGGACGTTCTTGTTAGCAAATAAAACATTCGTAAACTCAAGTCTCCGAAGCGCTGCGAACGGCCATTCCTATTTTACATAATTCCTGAGGGAGATGTCCATACACTAGCTGTATTTTTGTCATATTTATCTCTGACTTGTTTTTTAAAAAAATATATTTATATATACTATAGTGTCATTGGTTTACAGATTTAATACCACCGCAATTCGTCAACTGCCCCTCAGATAAGATACAGAAATATGATTCAGGAGAAGGTTCCTATGTAACATGGGAACCAATACACGCTGTGGACAATGCTGGCAACCTGAGTCTCTCAAGCAATATAAAAAATGGGGATTTCCTTATATTTGGTAGTCATCGTGTTATCTATAATGCGACTGATGATTCTGGGAACATAAATACTTGTAACTTCGAAGTAAAAGTGACGAAGATAAAAGGTAACTTAATTTTGTTAACTTTTTTACGACATGGATATTTTAAAAATTTATATGAGAATAACAGTGATAATCCTCAAAGGTCCATTTAAACAACAGTACAAATGGTGAGCAGAACCAAAACGGCCGCTTCCACCTTGAAAAACAGAGGTGGGATCAAGTGCCATGGAGAGATGGGTTTCCTCTTTCGATTGGTCACATCTTGTCATGATCGGGTAAAACTGAAAATTCCGTGGATAATTTTAAAAAAGCATGCAAACTTGTGGCCTAACATAGCTTGTATGAAATACGTTAATGAAGATTGTATGTACCCACAAGGTCATTGTACAGAATTTGCAAAATGTTGACTTTTAACGGGATTGTAATCATGTTAGCTTCAACTGGCTTGTCAATATCTTACCTTGTTTTTGAAATCAATCGTACCTTTTACACACGTATCGAATCAACTGGCTGAGAGATATAAACTCCACATGCAGATATTAAAGCATTGAATTGTGTATGCAACATAAATTCAATGTATGGGGAGTAAACGATAAATCACAATTATCTTAGAAATCGTTTTTTGTTTCCAATAAATAAATGTTTATTTTTGTAAAATATTTAGGGAATATTTATATGTTTTGTGAGTTAACGCTGTGATTTTGAAGAATATACTATACTTAAAACGGGAAGAACTACGCACTTTAAATCTCGGTTTCTCCCTACATTTCACACCAATTTATTTCGATACTAATGGCAATTTGGTCATAAAATCTCTGTTTAATGCAAGGAAAAGTTCAATTGTAATAAGTCCCCTACCGGTAAAACCGGTGGATACTATAGGTTTTCTTTTTTCTTTGAGTCTGTCAGTCCGTCCGACCGTCCTCCTAGCTGTCATTCTGTCTGTCAGTCTGCCCTACTTGATTTTCCGCACCTTTTTTTTCTAAACACTTGCATATATTGAGCTGATTTTTGGTATGTAACTGTACCTTGATGAGTTACAGATCAAGTTTGAATTTCGTTCCGCTTAATTGGTTTCTGACAAAATTATGGCATTTATAATTTTTTATAATTGGGATTAAAATCGGGTTCGTTATGTACTAAATTAAAGTTCAAAACGAGCTCGTGTCCTAAGGAGAAAAGGGGGACCCGGTAAACTATTGCTTATGCAATACTCTCAGAATGTTTGTTAAATATTAAATTTGATACCAGTGTTAATTAGTAAATTAATATTCATTCCAGCTCTTTTTATAAAGGGGGGGGGGGGTTAGACGATATTTTCCATTGAGAATCGGGCTTGGAAGATTCAGCATGTTTCAAAACATTCTTGGTTATGGCTAAATGATCCTTAAATCTTTTTTTATGTCTTACGCAAATAAAATAAAAACACATGTTATTGATAAAATACAACATTTAAGTTGTTAACCCGATCAAAATTGGTGAAAAAATGAACATTTTTGTCGTTTGTTGTCTGTAAACATACATGTACATGTATTACCTCCCCCCCCCTTCCCCCGCAGTGAAACGCAAAAAAAATTGGTACAAATTTGTAAAATACTTTATAGCGGTCCATATGACCTTGTACAAATTAAAAAGGAATTTTTATTTCACGGGGAGGGGGTGGGATGGAGATATTTTAAAATATTTACCATTTTACGTTGACTTCTACAGTGAAAGCACAAGTTTTACAACAATTTTAGATTTCTCTCTCTTTGTTTTCTCAAATAAGTAGTGTTTTATGAAAATTCTTGTAAATATCGTTATAAATATGAAAAATCGTTCAAATATCTGAACTTTTGAAATTTGATTTAGAGGTGCATGTAGTTGGGAGAACACTACTATCCAGTGCATTCTTTTAATCATTCTTAAACATAAATACAGTATCGTATCTTAGGCAAGTTAAAAGTGATATATCATATTGCTTGTCAGAATGTTTGGAAAACAAGCTTTTCCATTTTGCATTCATTTAATATCAAGCAAGGACTTTTAAAGAAAATCGAAATTAATTTATAATTATTGCACCGCATTCCCTTGAATAAAGGAAAATCTTCAAAATTTCATAAGATTATTCTAAATAATTTATGTTAAGACTAAGAAAACAAGATTATTCAACATAATTTATGTTAACACTTAGATAACAGTGATCAATATTTTGCGTATATTTTAGATAAAATCTGTGAATCTCCACCTCTGCCGTTTCATGGTACTTTGGGTTGTCAAGACAAGGAAGATCTTCAGTGCTCAATGGATTCCTGTAATCCAGGATATCTACTAAGAAATAATCTGACACATACCTGTAAGAAAGGACGTTGGGTGCCGGAGTTTCGGAATGATTTCATAACAACCTCGTGTATCAGTACGTTTATACCAAACATAACTAATAATAAATTACTGTTATTTATTCCGCAGGTCATTATACAAATAGTAGTGTGTTTTCTCTTTAAGAACCAGAACCAACCTATTTACAAAGAAATTACACATTTACTTTTAACTGTCCATACCTGAAGTTTAATGCAGCAGAGTTGAAGGACTGCATTAATCAGTCTGGACTATGTCCCAGAGGAGAAATCTTACTATGCGACAGACCTTTTCAAAGAATAGAAGGACAACAACTCTCATCTCAGAAGTTGCAGATATGGATGGTTATGGAGGGAATACTTCAGTATTAAACAATTTCATATAACAATTTCTTTATTTTAATTCATTAACAAATTAAATGATAAAAATTGTTTAGTAATTGACTTTACTTGTCATCCAAAATATCGAAATGAAATCTGAAATGTTTTACACTCGTTCATTTTTCATATTTTGAAGCCCGGGAATAAATATTAAGACTGTTTTCATTGCAGATACGGTGCAAACAAACATCTTTTGATTCAGCACCCCTACTAATGTGTTCGGAACCTTTTATTTTTCGGTGTTCTTCAAATTATAAAACCCGATGAGTTCAGAGTAGCTCTGACAGTGGTTCTGACGAGAGTTAGCGGAGTACAGCGAGATAGGGTAAATTATTCACGGAAATGTGGCTAGGAAGTGACTAGCACGTGGAGACATGGTAAACAGAAAAGTTATGTTGCGTTTCAGTTTTTACCAACCTATAATATCTGTAGAAATGCACTTCATTCGATCTCTCTTACATTCATTCAAACTCAAATAAGTATTCTCTATATTACAATTTTCTGCAGTCATAAATTAAAATTTCTTTTGGACAAATATTTTTACATGGGAACTGGAACTACATGTATATTTTTTGGCGTCAGATTAGCAAATGAGGCACCAGCATGATTTTAACTGTCCAATCAGCTGAATGAGAAATGCATTATGGGTTACTACGAATACTACAGGAATTTTACGATAAAAAAGGAAAATCTTATGGTAAATGAATAGCATTTTTAAAAAAAAAAATTCTATATTATTTTCATGCTCACAATGACAAACAATTCATCTGTTAAATAAACGATGGAAGTCTAGGTTTCTCAAAGTCATACTTCAAAGCGATTTGTGTCTGTATTAATTCCTTTGTTCATTGTTGTACTAGCGGAATAGAATAGAATATCATTTATTTCCAATTTTGGGCCCATGAAGGGCATTCAAGAAAAAATACAACATAAATAAAATATAAAGCTAAAGAGAGGAAGAGATCCAAATGTTAGTTGAATTCATATGCAACAATGAATATGTATAATATACATGTATGATAAAAGTACACAAACGCAAATATTATGACACATCATGCATAAATTTTAGTGGATATCTACCTTGTCTGCATATTATATCATTCTCGACTTTCAGGAACATCCTGAGACAACATTGGATCTTTTATTGTAACATCTAAATATATATTCTGCAAAACTATTTATTATATCACTACTTTCATTTGACATTAGCCATATAAATTTATTTCTATTTGAAAGTGAGGAGAAATTTTATTGTACTAGCGGTGAATACAATTGTCAGGTGGATTCCCTGGCCAAAACACGTGATCACGAGTATAGTTATGTAAACAAGGATTTGTCCATTGAAATGCTTAAGAGATGCTGCTTGTTTTCCTTACCCTTGAAGCGCTGGTGTTCTAAGCTAGACAAAAACTACATTTTTTCTAGTTACCAACAAATCTTTGTATTTTGTTCATAAGAACATTTCTTTTATTTTTCACTCCATTCACATGATCATAGATTGACCTGAAACACGTGTTCGAAATAGAATGTAAACATGTATTTGGCGTACACGTTGCTATTCATTCAACGATTGGTCAGTTGCTCATGGTAAGATCCTCTGTGCGCATTTATAACAATGGCCATATAAGGCAAACAAAGGTTTGTCAGTGTAGATGACATTACACCTATTTTTTTACCAGCGTATTGGTCGCTAGTGAGCTATTATTTTCGCCGTAAAGTATGATAAGATATATATTGTCATTTAACACCCCCTTGAGCCACCCTTTTTTCTGTCTAAAATCATGAAAGTCTTTCAAAAATGTCTGAAAACACATTTTTACAGGACATACAGACTATAGGAATTTTCTGTTTACTGCCAGTTTTATTTATAAAAACGGTTCTACCCTATAACCTTTGAATAGGTCAACCTAAACCACGTGCCTTGAATTTAAATCACAATAACATTAGTAGGGGTGTTCAGGAAATGGACAGATATGGACAGAATATTATTGACCTTTTCCAAATGGGGTTGTTTCTAAAGACTTGTCCCAGTTTAACATGTGACTTTGATTATATTAAAGCCCAACCATTGCAGGAGGTGTGTGAAAGAGGTTCTGTATTCTACCATGTTAATGGACAGGAAATCTGTGGTACGTTATTTATTCTTATATCTGTCTACGTATTCAAGATCGACGAATTTTGTTTTCATTGGTAAAAATATAATTAATGTGAGAATTTATTTCTTGGTAAGCCATGTTTCTCAGCGAAAAAAATGATTCATTCTACTTTAAGCTAAGTGCGGACCAGGTTCGTTTTTTGATGACAATGTTTGCGTTCTTTGCTCTGAAGGATTCTACCAAGATCGACCAGGACAACGGTATTGTAAAAAATGCCCGAATGGAAGAACATCTGCACAAGGGACTTTTTTGATGTCTCAATGTAAGGATTTTAGGGAGCAATTTCGTTAAGATTATTTCAGACAAAACAGTATCAAGCAATTCTTATTCAAAGTATCATTTGTTTGTCTAGGTTATGCTGAAGTAATTATGGAAGAGAAATTGTATTCTTTTAATACACTAACAGTGGTTGGAGTAGTTGTTAGTGGATTACTTCTGATAATGACGCTAGCCATTCTTACTGTAATATATAAAAGGAGTAAATCGTCTACAAAAGATGAAAGAAGAGAAAACAATGATCAATATCCAAACCCGATGTATGATGAATCAGAAGTTTATGATGAGATTCCTGATCAAGAGGTAACCAGATAAAATTGTTAGAGCTAACAATTGTATATGTTGTTATGATCTGTTAATTTATTTTAATTTTTCAAAATGTGATATAAGATGAATATTTAATTGAAATGAGAATAGAAATATAAAAGCTTTACATTAAAAAAATTATAGTATGATTTTATTGTAGGCCCCCAATCACTCACAATACAAACCAAGTCCAAAGACTGACCAAAATGTGTATGAAACCTTAACGACAAAAAGATCAGGCGAAAATCTGTACTCGAGAATGAATTGGAGAGCTTATTAATATCAAACTTCTGACATATTTACTTTGGAAATACAAAGAACAGTGTTATGATTTGATTTGAACATATTTTATTGCTTAGATGTAACAACAAAAGGATTGGACACAAGTTCTGAAAACTTCTGCAAATCTTTATTTATTTCATCAATCTTCAAGTAAAATGTTACGCCCTTGCTTTTTTACTTATCAAAGTAATATTCTACCACAAATGATTTACTAATGTACGACGGCGTATTCGAGTCATATTGACAATGTAGAGAAAATTTTAAAAAATCGTTTGCACGATTTGTTTTGTTAAATCGTTTGTACGATTTTAAGCTCTTCTGAGCCAAAGGCTCAAAGAGCTAATGCTATGGCCATTTGTGCGGTGTGCGTAAACTTTTTAGAATATGGGCATAACTCGAGAACCCCTTGGCCAATCAGTACCAAATTTGTCACAGGGTATCCTTGGCCCAAGGACTACCATTTATACTAAAATAAGGGTTGAGACCCTTAAACAAGGGGAAATAATCAGGAAAACAAAACCAAAAGCACTGGTTGCTAAAAAATCTTCTCCTCCATAACCACCAGGCAGATTTTCACCAAACTTACATACAAGGATCAAGATATGTCGAAGATTAAAATTTGCATGGGGAATTACCCTGGGGCAAAGGGCGTAGTCTCAAGGTCACTTCAAAGTTGACCTTAATTTACAATTAATAAAAACTTGTATATTTTGCTTACTATAAGGACTAGGATCATCAAATCTTGTAAGTTGATGCATCTTACGACTTCACATCATGTTAACTCAAAAGTAGGTCACGGTGACCTACTTTTTAAATTTTGCGGGGATTTGTTTTCAAATTGATTTGAAAGCATATTTTGGACTCTTTAAGGCCTATGATCATCAAACTTTATCAGTTGATGCATCAATGTCAATTTAAAATTAGGTCACCATGATCTACTTTTTGAACTTTATGACTTATCTTTTTAAAAACATTAAATCCCATTATTTCAGACACTGGGAGGTTTAGAATCATCAAATCTTGTACTTTGATGCGTCTTGGGATCTTAAAACCTATTTATAAAAAAGTAGGTCACTGTGACCTACTTTTTGAATTTTGCCGACATTTGTTTTCAAATTGTTTAAAACGCATATTTTGATTACCTTCAGACCTACGATAATCAAACTTGGTCAGTAGATGTACTTGGGTCTTTGAAAAATGTCGACCAAAATGTAGGTCATGATGACCTACTTTCGACATTTTATGGCTATATTTAAGTATCTTAGGTAATTATTGGCTTAGAATCATCAAACTTTGTGAGTCGATGCATATTTGGTTTTTGGAGAGTGACGACCAAAAAGTAGGTCACAGTGACCTACTTTCGACATTTTATGGCTTTATTTAAGAATCTCTGGTACTTATTGGCTTAGAATCATCAAAATTTGTGAGTTGATGCATCTTGAGTTTTCGGAGAGTGACGACCAAAAAGTAGGTCATGGTGACCTACTTTTGACATTTTGTGGCTATAATTAAGTATCTCTGGTACTTATTGACCTAAAATCATCAAACTTTGTCAGTTGATGCATCTTGGGTTTTCGGAGATTGTCGACCAAAAAGTAGGTCACAGTGACCTACATTTGACATTTTATGGCTGTATTTAAGTATCTCAGGCACTTATTGACTTAGAATCATCAAACTTTGTCAGTTGAGGCATCTTGGGTTTTCGGAGAATGTCGACCAAAGAGTAGGTCACGGTGACCTACTTTTGAATATCTCAGGTACGTATTAGCTTAGAATCATCAAGCTTTGTCAGTATAGGCACCTTGGGTTTTCGGAGAACGTCAACCAAAAAATAGGTCACTGTGACCTACTTTTGACATTTTATTCCTATATTTAATTATATTTGGTACTTATTGGCTCAGAATCATCAAACTTTGTCAGTTGAAGCATCTTAGGGTTTCATTGAATGTCCAACAAGAAGTAGGTCATGGTGACCTACTTTTGAATATATCAGGTACTTAGAGGCTTAGAATCAACAAATTTTGTCAGTTAAGGCATCTTGGGTCTTTGAAAAATGTCGACCAAAAAGTAGGTCACCGTGACCTACTTTTGACATTTAATGGCTATATTTATTTATCTCTGGTACTAATTGGCTTAGAATCGTCAAACTTTGTCAGTTGATGCATCTTGGGTTTTAAGAGAATGTTGACCAAAAAGTAGGTCATGGTGACCTACTTTAGAATATCTCAGGTACGTATTTGCTTAGAATCATCAAGCTTTGTCAGTTTAGGCACCTTGGGTTTTCGGAGAACGTCAACCAAAAAATAGGTCACTGTGACCTACTTTTGACATTTTATGGCTATATTTAATTATATCTGGTACTTATTGGCTCAGAATCATCAAACTTTGTCAGTTGAGGCATCTTAGGGTTTCATTGAATGTCCAACAAGAAGTAGGTCATGGTGACCTACTTTTGAATATATCAGGTACTTAGTGGCTTAGAATCATCAAATTTTGTCAGTTTAGGCATCTTGGGTCTTTGAAAAATGTTGACCAAAAAGTAGGTCACCGTGACCTACTTTTGACATTTAATGGCTATATTTATTTATCTCTGGTACTAATTGGCTTAGAATCGTCAAACTTTGTCAGTTGATGCATCTTGGGTTTTAAGAGAATGTTGACCAAAAATAGGTCATGGTGACCTACTTTAGAATATCTCAGGTACGTATTTGCTTAGAATCATCAAGCTTTGTCAGTTTAGGCACCTTGGGTTTTCGGAGAACGTCAACCAAAAAATAGGTCACTGTGACCTACTTTTGACATTTTATGGCTATATTTAATTATATCTGGTACTTATTGGCTCAGAATCATCAAACTTTGTCAGTTGAGGCATCTTAGGGTTTCATTGAATGTCCAACAAGAAGTAGGTCATGGTGACCTACTTTTGAATATATCAGGTACTTAGTGGCTTAGAATCATCAAATTTTGTCAGTTTAGGCATCTTGGGTCTTTGAAAAATGTTGACCAAAAAGTAGGTCACCGTGACCTACTTTTGAAATTTAATGGCTATATTTAATTATCTCTGGTACTAATTGGCTTAGAATCGTCAAACTTTGTCAGTTGATGCATCTTGGGTTTTAAGAGAATGTTGACCAAAAATAGGTCATGGTGACCTACTTTAGAATATCTCAGGTACGTATTTAATTAGAATCATCAGTCTTTGTCAATTAATGTATCTTGAGTCCTCAGAAAATTTCGATCAAAAAGTAGGTCACTGTGACCTACTTATGATATTTTATAATTATATATTAATATCTTCAGTCTTAACTGGCTAAATATTATCAAACTTTGTAAGTTGATGCATTTCGGGTCTTATGATACTAATAGAGTTGGAGGCTTCTAATAGAAGTGATAGATTGTACAATTTATCAGAAGAGCGATTCAAGGCCCTTGGGCCTCCTGATTTTCTTCTGATTCGGAAAAGAGAAACCCGGTAAAGCTATTGTACAGAGAAGTCTCTTCGTTGCTGACTATAACAGGTACAGAGACACTTATAATAAATTGTATCTTGTTAATTAAACTGTATGAATATTGTTGTAACCGTTAAACCTGCCATAATAACTTTCCAATACAACCGCATGTATCCATGCAATTGACTACATGACTCAAGTGTTTCCTCAATGAAAAGAGCTACATCCCCTATGTTGTATTTGTTCTTACGTCTGAACAGTCCCAACTTAGCCGTTGTCCTTTTCAATACAACGTTCATTCGTTCACTAACAAAGACTCGGTGAGTTTGCGAAAGGATCTGTGGATTTCCGAAAAAGTGAAAACATCTTGAAATATCCTTTGATCATTTTTTCTCTGTCTTTCATTATAACTATGCGAGGAAAGGTTACTACTTCTGCAGGTTTTTCTACTGCGCTTCTTCTACGTGTAATAACAAGAAATAAAAATCGTACAAACGATTTTCTAAGTCGTATTTAAAAAAATCCTACAAACGATTGAAAAATAAATCGTATAAACGTCTTTCTAAATCTTTCAAACGATTTTCTAAGTCGTGCATACAATTTTCTAAAATCGTACAAACGATTTTCTAAAATCGTGCAAACGATTTTCTAAAATCGTACAAACGATTTTCTAAATCGTTCAAAAGATTGATGAAATCGTTCAAACGATTTTCAAAGTCGTACAGGCGATTTTCTAAATCGTTCAAACGATTTTCTAAATCGTACAAACGATTTAAAAATCGTCCAAACAATTATTTAAATCGTACAAACGATTTTTAAAAATTTTCTCTACATTGTCAAAATGGAACGAATACACCATTATACTAATGTTATTTGTTCCCCTATAATTAATTACAAAATAAAGATTTTGATTTTTTATACACACGTTATGACTTATTATTGCATCATGCAAGATTTTTTAAAGTAGAAATTGATATCACATTTTGCTTACTGCCAAATACAATAATGATATATATATATATTTTTAATAATAATAATGATGATGATATCGTTTACTTTAGATTTTAAACATATTAGATATGATAAAAAGGAGGCACCTATTCTCTATCCACCTTGAAAAAACGTCTCTCCCGAGACAAAAAATTTGGCTTTTGAAAGTATATTCTTATCCACCCATTCTGTTGCCTAGACTTGACCATTTCTGACATATGAACTGTTACAAGAATTAACTTGCATGAAAAGAAATATGAAACTCAGAAAAATCTTTCAGCTTTTGTGACAAAACGAGAGGGTCACATGACCACGTATATCACGTGATTTGTGCATGATCAGAATGATGGCATATGTGCATTAAAATCGTAGAGGACTAATTGATAATATAATCAAAATTGAAATCAAATATCGTTTCTTTTATGAAAGTTATTCAATTAGTTCGCGAACTTTTTGATCACCCCTCTTATGTATCAAAGAATAGTCAACTTGTGCAGTGCAATCGAAATCGGATCAAAGCTGTAAAAGGAATAGTTATTTGAAAGGAAAGCTTTGATCGTAGACCAAGAAATGGAGCTTTCACAAAAGTATTTTTCTTATATCATGCATTTAAAAGAATGACGCGTAGATTT